TATATATATATATATATATATATATAGGGACTGGTTCAAATAAAAACTAGTTCTGGTGTGAGAACCGTGAGAACCATATTTGATGCTATTTTTAATTATACATGATGCTATTTTTAATATTATATTGTGCTATTATTTTCACAAATACCAATATAAATTGTGTTGCTATTTTTAGTCAAATACATCATGATTAAAAATAGCATCAAAACACAATCATCATAGCACTACGTACAATTAAAAATAACGGTTCTCACGGTTCTCACACTAGCACTTGGTTCTCATTTGAACCTCATCCTATATATATATATATATATATATATGTATATATATAGATTCAAATTGTCTACGAAATAATCAGAATCGCAGTGGATCTAGAAATTAGGATTGACTGTTTAAGGTTTTAAATTTTTTGCAGACTTTAAGTCAACTTACATAGTTTGCGGGATAAGACAAACTAGCCTCATTGACCTCGGGATCTTCTGTTGTATTCCCGACACTGACTCTGATTGTCTTCGTGGGCGACGAACTCTAAAATCCTCCACTCAAAGACTCGCTCGATTACTTTGGAGAAAGAATGGAGAAGATTTTGTGTTTTTAGACACTATTTTATTCTCTTGCTCCTTAAGCTCTCGAATATTCTCATAAAAAGAAAACTCTCGTTCTCTTCCTATTATGAGATGGGGGTAGCCGAATCAATGAGAGATTAGCGTATTTATAGGCTACATCAAGGAACTTGAAGAGATGTTAGATAAGGAGTCCTCTTAGAGCATCTTCAATGCATTGAGTCTAGTCTTGCCTATGTGACAAGTACATAAATCCAAGTCTTAGATGACATGGATAAAACTATGTAAAATTAATAAAATTCACTCCAATGCAAAGAAATTAGGTCTCAACTTGAGTCTAAAATAGACTTAAGGAGAGACCGGTTTCTTTTTCTGACTGCCACATCAGCAGGACCAAACCTACTTTTATTTGCATTAGAGCATCTTCAATGCGTTGGGTCTGTCTTGCCTATGTGGCAAGTAAATAAACCCAAATCTGTTCTTAGGTTTCTAGTCCACCTAACACTCAATACATAAAAATAATATTCTCTTTGGTGTCGTTTACTTCGAGGGATGGGATAAGACAATTTAATCAAGACCCTTTTCCACATCATCAATTAATACCTTGTTTACTTTTAGGGACAGGATTTGTCTAAAAAATCCCCCATTTACTTCCAAGGATTAATTTTCCTAATAAAGATGTTAAAGACTCCATTACCCCTGGAACAAAAAACGGAATGTGGAGTTCCTTCCTCGACATTCACTTCATTCATCTGTTTGCCCTAATTCAGCTGCGACTCTTCACTCCCAACGAGAGGCGACACCTTCACTCCCAACGAGAAGCTGTGGTCACTTGAACACCACCGTGGACGACGTCCCTCCGACAGCCAGGACCATTAACCCCGAAGGCCGTGCTGTGAGAGGTAGGACCTTTTTCGGCGAACACTTTCCAGGTTGTATACGGTTTTACCTTTCACTTTCGACTTTTGTCTCGTTTTTCGTTCGATTGTAAAATCTCAATGCTGTGAACAACATTGTATGAGTTTGATTAAATTTCTTATAAATTGGATCTGGGACATTTCATCCGATCTAGGGTTTCAGTTTCAACAATATTTTGTCTAAATTTTAAACCGTCAATAAAGCTATATGACCGAATTGAAGCTATACGTCCCAGTTTCAACAAATAGCATGTCTTAGTTACAAATTCAAGCTATTCGGGATTTGTCCTTCAACTGCACTAATTCAAGAATTTATAACTTGTAGCCCTCAAACAGATGATGCTGGTTTGTAGCCCGACTATGACTAACTTCTTAATTTTCCAGCTGCTAATTGAAAAAAGTAATGGGTTACTGTGGTGATTTAGAGGCTGCCCTAATTCTTGCGGTTCTGTTTTTGAATTGGATGATTTTGTTTTCGATGTGTAAGTTATTATGAGTTACTTTGGTGATTGGTTACTGATAGAAGAAAGTTACACTTTTGCTGATTGGATTGGGTCTGTTTCATTCTCTTAATTTTGATATGTTTGGTTTGCATTTCTAATCTGTATTAGGAGCATGTTTTAAGCTAGCTGGTTTTGAATAACTGTGCAATAAATTGAGGAAGGACATGTTCTGAGGCTGCTCCATATCCTTGCCTTGTTGTGTTTGTTCTCTTTAAATGACATTTTTTTTTTGGGTTGTTGTTGGTGAAGTTTTTTACCATGGGTTTAACATGATTGTATTATGCTGATAAGATGATAAGTGATTGAAATACACAAGTACATGTTGTGCTCTAATGTGTTTAAGATTATTGTAGCAATAATGGCTACAGAAACATAAGTACATGTTGTGCTCTAATGTGTTTAAAATTATTGTAATATCATATTTTTCATGCTCATATTGGTGGCAGTTTCCACTTGTGATTTCACTCCATCTGATACTAGGATTCCATTTAAGTTCCAGCGGCGACAGTTTCCACTTTTGATTTCGTATGCGATGACCATAAACAAGAGTCAAGGACAGTCTTTATCGCACGTTGGTCTATTCCTGAAGAAACCGGTTTTTAGTCACGGCCAGTTATATGTTGTTGTTTCACGTGTGACTACTAGAAGAGGGTTGAAGATATTAATTTGTGATAATGAGGAGTTACCCAATAACCAAACTCATAATATTGTGTACAAAGAGGTTTTTAATAATATATGATTGTTTTGTGACGAAACAATCCTTCTTTCTGTAATAATGTTCCTACGTATTATAATTATTTCGATCCTAATTCATGTCATATTTTATTATTCTCCAAAATTTTACATTCCGTGCAACGCACGGGTTTTGCACTAGTTTTTACATTAAACCGCGTAATGTTAAAACTTGAACAAATATATGATGCGTGGACCGATTTTATTCAAAAACTTGAATAAAAATGATAGAATATTTTAAACAACATATAAATACCTCTTATAAGAAATAGTGTAAGCTAGACAAGCTCGCCTCTAGTATTTTGCTACATTTGCACTTGGTAAGTTAGCCTTTAATCAAGGACAATGACTATCATAATCAGTCTCGCATTTCGACCAAGTACCATCGTAGGCAGGAAAATGTCGAATAGTTACTCGTGCGGTCTCCGAAAGAGCTCGGCCTTGCAACTGTTGGCGGATGTTTTCCCGTGTTTGTTGACACCACCGAGGCTTGTCAGAGTGCCACTTGGGACACCGGCTTATCTGCATTTGCTCCAGACAGGTTGCATTTTCAAGGATGTACAACGCAAACTCGATTTCGTTTATAAATCCACAAAATCCTGTTATTTCCACTTTTTTCAAGTGTGAATGAGTTTCTGCTGTCGGTGGTCTCATTGCTTTAGGACCATCAGTTTCCACAGATTCAGTCTGCATAAAGGAACATAGTTAATTTGTTGGTAGTGTTTGTAATATATTACACCCTATTATAGATGTCCCACAAAGATATTTAAATAGAGAACTTACAATGCTATGTTTCCGTATTCAATTTATATACCACCGAGATGAACTAGAGTTGTGCAATTTAGCGACAGTTAGTTTAGAGAGAACACCAAAGCAGCTTCAGTTACTGGTTCTGTTCTTTGGGAAATGTAACTATAGGGTTTAGCAGATGAATTATTTCTGTCGAGGGTGTTAGTATTAGGATGCATTTAACTGCATCCACTTGGTTTTAGTTTGCAATTTGTTCTAAAGAATAAAGATTGTGATAAGAAAAATTATTCCACAAAACTTACATCCAAGTGAAACTCGAGTAAGCGCGGGCAAGTCCGAAGAAGTGGAATTATCCCCAGAAGCATAGTCGTGTAGGCTGTATGAGAAAACCGCAACCTTAATTGTCTAAGGTTACTATTTGTGTTAGTCCGAGCAAGCTTGCTAACCTGAGAATCAAGAATGCGAATTTAAGACCTGGAATTTATCTAGAAGAGAACAAGTTGTTTTATTCTCGATCGTACCAAATGAATAACATGTTTACTGATATCGTATTTGTTAACCAAAGCTAACGACTTGAGCTGATTGGTAGGCAATTCAGAGGGAAGTCTAACACAAACATGATACATAACGTCTTGTTGAAAGACATCATAATACATGCTCTGCAGCCGAGGGACATGGTCGACTACTTTACTGCGGCTCTGGAACTCAAACGTAACAAGATTGTCGGCACACAGCTTGATCTCCTGCACCCCTCTGCACTCCTCGATGTTGAGATGCTCCAGTCGAAGGTTGGGCCCACGTATATGCAATTTCGAACAACGAAACTCACAGTAATCCATCCTCAATGAGCAGAGGCCCAAACAAGCCGACAGGATGAGGTCTAGTGCCCCGTCGAGTAGAGTAACTTTACTCAACCTCATATTCCGGAGGGACATATTAGTATGCAATTTGGGCAAGCACGGCCAGGTGTAGATCGATTTAAACTCCAAGTACCGCAAGCAGGGCATACAGGAAAGAAGGTGGACCCAAGAAAACGAATAACGGCAGCAGGGCTGTGCCGAACAACACCATTGAACAACAAGTTTCTTGATGCCGGCTGTGTTATCTAGATATTTAAGGAGTGCCCGGAATCCTCCCATGTATGGAAAGGGGTAGCGGTGTGATTTGATCAGACAACAACAGAAAACAAGACTATGGATTTTAGAACCACGACGGGAGTCGAAATACTTTGAGGATATGTGATGGATATCGATCGCGCTCGATTTAAAAAGGCGACGAGTGATGAAGCTGATGTCAAATCTATAACGGTCATCATCGAGGTGATGGCAGTGGAGGTTGAGGTGGACGACAAATTTGTAAAGGGTCGTCCACCGTTTGGACAAGACGCTGGTCCGAATAGCATCCTTGACCGGCAGGAGCGTGAGGATGGAGATCAGGACACAATCCGGTAGTTCACCGATTTGGTTGTGATGATGACGAACTTGTACATGCTTTCTTCTTCTTCTTCTTGATGATGAGAGTCTGTAGGCCAAGAGCGTGAGCCATGCTGACAAAACTATGATCTTCATGGCTAACAGGAAAAGTTAGAGGAGAGTTTGAAGATTTCCCACCAAGTCTCTTGGTTTCGGTTATATACGCGTTTTCATAATTAAAAAATAAAATTTTATTTTATTATTGGAGAACAAGACCAAAAAATTAATTTAGCATGGGGTAACTTAACATACAATTAAACATTGTGTATTAATTAGCCAACCCTTATAATCATTCTATATATCAACCTATATTTCTTTCTAAACTTAATTAATTCAGATCATTTCATTCCCAAAATTGTTCTATAATTTAAGTAATGAGTAGATTCTTGTCCCTAAATTTGGAGAAGTAAACAATTTCTTGACAACTATTCTTTTTATTGTTATTTATATTGGATTTGGACCCAACTTATAACCTGGGCTGGTTTACTCAAAGTTGGGCTTAATATTTATTTTTATATATATTATTTTCAATTTCCACAAGTTTATTGGGCTGGAGAGCTACCCCAACTGTTCCCGTATCAAGTTTTAAATTCCATAAATATATCTCCTCCTATTTCATAATTAAGATATATTTTGGTATTGGGGAAGGTCCACTTTTGGTCCTTCATGTTTAGGGGTATTCAGACTGAGTCCCTATTATGTTTTGGTGCCCAATTTTAGTCCTTAAAACAAAAAAATGTAGTTCCTATAATTGAGAAGAATCTACTTTTAGTCCTCCATGTTTAGGGGTATCCAGACTTAATCCCTATTATGTTTTGATGCTCAATTTTAGTCCTTAAAACAAAAAAATGTAGTCCCTTTACCTCAATTTATGTGAATTAACGGTCCATTTTAGCTCGACCGTTATGTTCTTTATTTTTTTAAAATTTGTTGACTAATGTCAACTTTGACCAAAGAAAAATAACAGAAAATTTAAATGCTGAAAAAGTAATATAAAAGGCAGAAATAGTGAACTGCAGTGAAACGTAAAAAAAAAAAACCCTAACCGCCTAGGGACTAAATCCGATCAAATGGATGGAAATGGTGTGGTATTTTGTAGATGTGAGCTGGTTGCAAAGTTGACTACATGCTGGAAGGATGATAATCTCGGGAGAAGATTCTTGAGTTGCCCTCTATATCCTGTAAGTACTTTCCGTGAACTTCAATTGGAATATGATAAGAAATGGTTAAAAAACAGAGGGTTGATAGGTGCAATTTTTTTCGATGGCATGACCCGGAAATGGGTGCAAGAGCATTAGCTGTGATTCCAGGCTTGCTCCGCAGCGCGAATGCTAGGGAAATAGAAATCAGACGAGCAAAAATTTAAATTTATTTAGTGTAATTTCTTGTTTTAGTTTAATTTTTTATTAATATATTTTCAGCATTTAAATTTTCTTTTATTTTTCTTTGGTCAAAGTTGACATTAATCAACAAATTTGAAAAAAATAAAGAACATCACAGTCGAGCAAAAATGGACCGTTTATTCACAGAAATTGAGGTAAAGGGACTACATTTTTTTTTTTTGGACTAAAATTGGGCACCAAAACATAATAGGGATTCATTTTTTTGTTTTAAGGACTAAAATTGGGCATCAAAACATAATATGGACTCATTTTTTTGTTTTAAGGACTAAAATTGGGCACCAAAACATAATAGAGACTCAGTCTGGATACCCCCTAAACATGGAGGACCAAAAATGGACTTTACCCTTTGGTATTTTTGCGTTTAAGACATTACCATCTATTTGTACAATGTCCAAATTTAACACTTTCAAAACATCTATGTAGTTGCCATATGGACTATTAAAATAATTTCCACATAGTATACAATTTTGTTAATGCTTCAACTCAAATTATTATGTAGTTGCCAAAATATTTCATTAAGGCACACGGGAATAATTTTGTTCTTCGTTTTTTTGTACAGACATTTTCAATTATAATTTAAATAAGTTCTATGTATAATAAATGTATAGATTTAATTTCAAATTATTTTTATATAGCAAAAATAATTTCAAATCCATTTCCAACTTACACCAATAAAATGAGGAATATCTGAATTTGAATTTAAATTATATCTCCAACTTACACCGATAAGATAGAAAGGTCGGTGAATTTGAATATAAAATCATCTCCAACTATAAGATGAAGACCGAAACCTCACAACATATTTTTTTAAGGATTGTTTATATATGATTTTTCATATTTGTATTCATTTTCTTTTAATAATGAGATGATAAATATAAATAATTATATTTCATTTAATGTTTTAACAAAAATTTTAAGGGACAAGTTTGTCCGTGCATCGCACGGGCTACTCACTAGTTTTCCCAAAACATCCATCTCTATCCTCATTAATGAAGGTTATTATTGACAAAAAAAAAGATTCTTAATTACTGTGCAACTTTTCAAAATGACACTTATTAAAAGTAGGAGGGGGTATTTTTAAACCTCTCTATTGTAACAGTAAACCTCAAGGTTTGTGTTTCACCCATTACTAAAGATGCTTTAAAAGCATGTTTATCAATTAAACCTTATAAGCCTTCTTTTATACTTGCCAACATGTCACATTAAACCTCCAATAACAATAAACTTTCTTTTTATGGTCCCACATGTTTTCCACTTAATATATACTCTTATATTTTTATTAATATTTTTACATGATAATTTCAGTTTTTGTATTTTTAATATTTTTAATTGAGGTTTATGTAAGGTTAAGAATGTAAACCTGATTTATTTTATAATTGTAAACCTTAAGCCTAAGTTGAATTGTAGTCGAGCATATTTCAACCTTTCTTCCGCAATGTGAGAAGTTAAGTTTCTAATTTGATCACAAAAAATTTCTCCGTCCATGAAGCATCTATATGTCATGTCAATTTCACCTTCAATCTAAGTTGAATTCACAACATAGACATTATATGTTTGAGGGGAATATTGTAAATAATTGATTTGTGGACATTATCAAAATATAAACTTTATATGTATTATTAACTCATTAGGTTAATACACATTGTAATTCTATATATATTGTTTAAATGATGTGTAAAGATACCACATTATGTTCTCTTTTTTTTCTTGTTATCTGATATAGTCATAGCTCGGTTGAACTGGAATTGCGACCTCAATAATTATTAATTAATAAACCTCAAAGCTCATCCGATTTAATTAATATCCAACCTCAAACAGTTTAATGGAGCAGATCGAACTACACATGAGTATTTGAGGTCGAACTAATTGAGGAGGAAGACCTAGTGGTGCAGCCGATCTAATCTACATAAGGCAACGAGCTAATTCACCCAAGCTAGGCATGATCGAGCTAATGAGCCTAAGGTAACGAGCTAGAATGTGATCTAGCTCAACAGTGAAGAAGACGTATATAGATAGAACTAATGAATGACGAACCTATGGGCGTGGAGAGTTGAGTAAGCATGGACTTGATTGAGATAAGAAGGAATCTAATTAAGATAAGAATGAACACTCAGCAGATAATATCAAAACTCGGGCAACTCTCTACATTCTTCACATATTGCATACAACTTACAACTATCTATCTAGATACATAACTTGAATTTCAAAATGCACATACCAAGAGTCCCTCCCGACCCTTTGTTTTGCAA